CCTTGATCAACGGCTGGACCTGCCCCAAGTACCCCGCCGTCCGCTCTCCACGAGTGGAATCTTGGCGGCCATGCACATCTTGTTCACATGTCGCCGGGCATCTGCATCAGGTCAGTTAAAAATGGCCTCTGCGTTCTGTCAGTGCAGACTGACCAAGATTATCCAAGGCATTGAGCACGATGTCGAATTGCTGGAACCATTCGAGGTCGTACTGAGGCTCCTTGATATTCCCGTATATTGGAGTAATTTGGACGTTGGGGTTAAAAGGCGCGGCAGTTTGTGCGGCAACCTGCGGTGGTGATTAGCAGGCGCGTTGGGGAACGTGCGGATAGGGCAAATGAGTCGACGAGGGCCGGCTCTCAGGCTGTAAGGTGGCTGTTTCTCGACAGCTACAATTCTCCTCCGTATTGCTGCGTGCCTTGAATGCTTGAAACAAAATGGGTGGCACACATACCAAGGCTTTGCTCTGCTTCACGTCCTTTTTGCGGAACAAGAATTGGCGGTTAAGATTTGACAGGTCGATCGTGTCGAGGTCCAGCAGAGTGATTTTTCCAAAGCCTGTTAGCACGATATTTTCACTAGCGCGAACGAAGAGGACGGCATTAAGCGCCGGCTTTCAGACATGCTGTACGGTTACTCACGGAGTTCGCAGCCTATGCCACCGGCGCCCACAAGGAGGACCTTGGTCTCAGCGAGGCGTCCATGTAATTCTGGACCGAGGATAGTTTTGGCGTGGGCCGTACGAGCTTTTGCAGTCGACATTCGGGTCGATTATTGCGGGGGTAGGATAAAGCACAATTAGGTGAGTCTCGTAGTGGCTGCAGTGAAGGGTGCAAGTTTGGAGGAGCTCTGAGAACGCCTCCCTTGAAAAAAGACGGTGAAGGTACGGGACAAGGTACGCGAAAGATCACGCATACGTCGGGTCACGGGTCAGTCACGCTGACCACTTTGAGCCGCAAATATTTTGCTCGTACATGATGTAAAAGCCGTAACTCAAAGTGGGTGACTTACGCTACTCGAAATAAATTTTTTATTTGGTGGGACGTATAATGGTTCGGGGGCATAATTAAAATCCTCATCCTCGGCGCGACGCAACCAGCCCGTCCTCGGCGCCTCCCATTCAACATCCCTCTGCGCTCGTAACCTTTCCTCCACCGCCCATTCCTCTTCGTGATTAACGTTGTCGTCCAATGAAGGCCCGCCAGTAAGCCGCCGAGCCGCCGAGTCGCGCTTCTCTGCCTCCCGCTGCGCCTGAGCGGCTCCTGCCCACAGCTCGTCCCACCGCCCCTTCTCCTCTAATACGGGTTTGTAACACGTCCGTGCGCCGCCACAACAGCCGCATCATCTGAGACGACTGCCACGGCGGCAACCGTGGATTGCGTTCGTGGCATCATGTATGCGAGTACACGCGCCGCAAGCTCCGCGCGATGGCGTTGACTCCCCCGCCTCCGAGCTTCGACGGGGGCAGAACAGCGTCGGGCCCCAAAAGAGGAGGAACCGGCGGCGCGGGGTACGCGGCAAAATCGAGGCGGGTGAGCGGGATACCTGAGACGAGGATCTGGGTTGTTCGGAGAGCGCGGTGCGTGGTAATGCTGGTGGACACGGGCCTCCATCCAGTCGTCGCGGTCGAGTGGTGTGGCTCGAGTCTCACTTTCCGGCTCTATATCTGCGGTGGCGGCGGTCTTCGAAGACGAGTATTCGTATAGCAATGCACGCATGTCGTTGAGAAAGACGCCGAGCAGCGCCTGCAAGGTAGGTAGAGACGGTGGGGGCATAAAACTGTCGTCAGCAGCCTCGACTGGGTCTTCGGGAGGGGAGAAGCGAGTCTTCGGAAATGTGTCATCAGTAGAGTCGGTTTCCACTGTCGCACTTTTCTCTGCTCTCTTCTGTTCGAGCCTGACTAACAGATGTTGGAGCCCCCTCCGAATATGGCCACCAGAACGGAAATGAAATGTGCTAAAGATATGTGGTGTGCGAGGGAGGGCGTAAGTATACGCCTCCAAAACAATGCGAAGGTGTGCGCGTGCAGCGACGAGGGTGGGGATGCCGTTAATCCTTGCATACACCTGCTGTGATTCAAGCTCGAGTGGAATCTACGAAGACAAGTCAATCGAGAGAGAAACTATGAAAAGGACGACACTTGCATTTCCTACAGTGTGAATCCATCGAGCAATCTCAGGGAAAGGAATTTGTCGGGTATGCACCAACACGCCAAGGATGGTGAGAGCTTGAAGTGCGAGGCGAACATGGTATCTCGCGCGCGGAGGCTTTAGAGGCTCTCGGGGTTCATGAGGTGCGGCCGAGGCATACGCGCCGTCTGGGTCCGTGTCGGGGGAAGCGGTTAGAGGGATCGGTCTCAGGGCCGACTGTACTGTCGGCTACGCGTCGCTGAGCCTCAATAACATCTTGGGACACGTAACCGCTCTCTGGATGGTTGACAATATTGGAGAGGACACCGTGAATGCGGTAGCACAAATCTGCGAAGAGGGAGTCGCTGGGTCGTATTCTTTCTACATGCAGAACTGCGAGACGACGGTGTAGGTAGTCACGGTCGTGAGGAGTAAGCGGTGGGGCGGCGGGATCCGGGGAGTGCAAGATGGTGGGGAGGCTCTTGTAGAGCTGAAAGTCCGTTACCCTGCTGCTCAAAGAAAAGGGCAGCGGGGACGAACTCGCGCTGGTCCAAAAGGGTTCTCCAGAGGTACACAGTGGCCTCTCTCCGACGAGGAACGAAAAGTTTCCTCGCTCGCAGATAGAGAGCAAGGGCAGTGCGGAGGGAGGGCTCCGAGACCATCTCGGCGTCGAGTGAGAGTATGCTGGCGTTTTTTGGAGATCGAGCGCGGTCCTGGCGGCCCTGTGTCTTGGGGATCATTTTCAAAAGTGCCTTGATCGTTTTATCGAGAGTGAGTGGATGCATGCGAGGTGGTTTGGCGAATGTGGTGGGTTCCGTGGCGAACGCGAGTAGAAAGTTCCCTGCACGGTCAGCATCCACGCGGAGAAGAGCGTGAACAGCGGAATGGGCAAGTAGACGGGGGTATGGTTTTGCTACACCTCGGAGGATGGCGAGAGCGGCAATGATATCGTTTGCGGCAACGCACGCGCGGAACTCGCGGGCCAAGGTCTGTGAGTCCTTCCTCTTGGGTGCGGCAGGCCAGGACACAGGCTTGGACGGTAGGGAACGGCTGACGATGGTGTCAAGAGGTAAACCAGCAGGCTGCGACTGGGAGGCGGGGCGGTCGTCGAAGAGGGCCTCGAACTCGGGAGGTAGCGAGCCGTCTTTTGTAAGGCATCGGCGGGAGACTAGAATGGATGAACAGCCAGTGCGAACGAGCCCCGCCCTCACAAGCATTCATGCAAGTTCTCGCCAAAAAATATTCACGCAAATCAACGATCCCGTGACCCCGCCATCATTTCGCGCGGAACGGACGCGACGCGACGAGCAGTATGTAAGTACTTGAGCCCGGTCTGAATCCCGGCCACCACAGAAGTCGTCTCCGTCGTCGGGATCGGTCCTTTTTGTTATTAACTCTATCTGTCCCTGTTGTCGCGTGCGACATACTATCGATCGGAAGTGCAAGATTTTTTTTGTTGGTGCTGCTACTGTCTCAAATTTCGTCGGATTTCACCCAGGATGGGTCCACAAGTGGGTGCAGATACATCAAAAAATCCTAGCTTGGCGAGATTTCCGGACTATCGTGAGGCGAGCTTGGATGAAGAAGAGCGGGTGGGGATTCAGACCTTGATGTGGCAGCAGCGATGGGATGTGTAGTTGAATTCTAGGCGGTAGGTTTGAATTTTTTTGCGTCGCTACTGTATGCGAGATTTCATCCAGAGCTGGCTCACGAACGCCCCGTCAACCCACGGTTTTTGTGTAGGCCCTGAAGACATAACCTCTATACATATTGTACTTTAAGGAATTTTCTTGTGGCCCAATGGTCTAGACGTATGATACACGCTTCGGGGTTTCCCCGCTTACCTCGGTAAGCTGATATGTGTGTGGTCCCGGGTTCAATTCCCGGTTGGGCCCTTTTTGTTATTGGTATGTTTGGGACCTTCCAATACATGCATGTACTCTTTTCCGATGTTGACGAATCGAGCGCATCGGAATACTATATACTATCGGTCCAACGGGTTGGAATTCTCCTCATGGGTTTGAATTTACACCATTTCTCCCTACCTTTGCTCCTTTTCCCCACAGTTTTCTTCGCGTAAGTAGTAGTAATCCATGTCCAGGTAAATTTGCTAGGAATCGAGGAAGGGCAAGATATAACGGAATCCCGAACACTGGCGCCACAGATGGTTCGTATACAAGTTTATAATTTATCTTCGAAGGTGAGTACATTTAAACGACTTAATATCCCCGATACTGTCCCTGCGGCTGATACTGCTGTGGCTGTTGTGGTGGAGCCCCCGGCGGCGGCGTACCATACTGATACGAGACGGGCGCGGGTGGGGGCGGAAACGAGCTATTGCCGCTGAATCCCTGCTGAGGCGGAGGTGGCGGATGCTGCTGTTGCTGCGGCTGCTGATATTGCTGATACCCTCCACCATACTGCCCTTGTGGGGGTGGCGGCGGCTGCGATTGTGCGTATGAAGGAGCGTACGAGCCTTGCTGCGGTGCAGGCGGCGGAGGTGGGGGCGAGGAAACAGCGGGCGTCGATGCGGGTGAATAGGTGTTGCCAAACATCCCAAGGTGGGCGTATGGATCGCTGGCAGGCGGCGGCGGTGGCGAGGAGGCGTAAGACTGCGAGTATTGAGCTGGCTGCGGCGGAGGTGGCGGGAAGGATTGCTGTCGGGAGTGGGTGGGCGGCGGCGGTTGCGAATAATACGGCTGCTGCTGCTGCTGGGGCGGGGGCGGGGGCGGCGAGGTATATTGAGACGGCGGTGGTGGAGGTGCGGAGGGATATGATTGTGGTGATGGATATTGCGCAGGCGGCGGGGGGTGGATACTGCTGCCGGGGAGATTGCGGCGCGGACGGCTGCCATTGAGATGGAGCCGGTGAACCCCTCAGGTTCATGTTTGCGAAACTAGGTTCCAAGCCACCAGCCTGCGGAGGTTTGGCTGCCAAAGGAGGAGGCCCCGACGAAGTGAAACGCTTCTCGTTCTCGAGCTTGGCTGCGAGGCGTTCGCGCTCCTCGATGCGTCCACTAACAAACGTCTTGACATTGCGTCGTAGCTTTGTCGTCAGCTCCGTCAGTTCGCTATAGAATTGGAGGCCCTTCCTGTACTCAAATGTCAAATCTGCAGATTGAACCGGAAAAAAAAGGACTGACGCTAAGCCGTCGCGAACTTCTTCGTACCCCTCCCGCGCCCGCCTAAACCTCCGCACCCCCTCCTTCCGTTTCTTCTCCTTCTCATCCCATTTGCGTGCCGGACTCCGAAAGTCTGTGAAGTCTTTGAGCATCTTCCAGCGTGCAGACACATCCTGAAGAGCAATCTCCTGGTGGTGTATGGTAGCCGCAAGTCGCTGCTGATACGGTCGGAACTTTTCCAATTCAGCTGCGAAAAGTGTTGGCTCGACTCCAGTATTGCGGCGGTTCAGCAGGAGCAAGTGCGAAACATCGTCGTTGTGGATCTAGAACGATGTAAACGATAGCTCGCATTCCAATTAGAGCTTTACCTTCTCCTTTAAATCCTTCAAAACCTCGTTTCGCTCCTTTTCTATCTTCTTCAGGGTCGCCAGCCGCTCCTCGATCTCATGAACAAGACCAGAGATCTTATCCTTCTCCTCTCGCTCCGCTCTATCCGCCTCCTCCCCAAGATCTAACAAGCTTCCCTTGTCCTCATTATTGGCAAAGAAACCTTCAATCCGACCCGTAACGAGCACCTCTACGTCCGGCCTCACACCCTCCCAAAGCGCCTGTACCTGCGCATCACTCCGCGCTGCCTCCTCCATTGCGACTACATGCGCCTTCAAATCCTGCCTCAGCGCCTTGCTTAACCCCGCGCTCGGCGCCTGCGTCCATAGGTGCTCATACCGTACCCGCATCATCTCGCAATCCCTACTCTCCGAATCAAGCTCCCGCGCAATCCCACTACCGGGATCGAGCTCGCTCCTCAACGCACCCTTGAGCTTCTCGAGCTGCGTAAAGAGCGATCCGACTCCCTCCTGCCCCTCGATTGAAGAAATATCCGCCGCCCACCGCAAGACCTCCTGCGGGACGCCACCATCGCCGTTATCCTGCAACATACTGCGGAAGCGTTCGAGCCCTTGCGTGACATGCAGCCCGTCGAGGAAGCTCTTCGCCTCAACCTCGGCGGTGTCCGCCCGCTCGACCTCCCCGCGAACGAGCTTCGCCTTCTCCTCCGAGTACACCGAAGCGCTCTCATGCACGCTCAGCGGCACCAACCGCCCAAAGAAGTCCGCGCCGATAGTCTTCTGCACATCAGGGGCGCCGTAAACCTCTTGGATCGGGATCGGCGTGGCGATGGTAAGCGTCGTCTTGGTCTCGATCGGCGGGAGAGTCTCTACCGACGGCAGAATCGCATTGTAGATGAGGTCGTTCTCGCGGTTGGCGGCGGTGCGGCGGTCGCTGACAAGCGTGACGTGTTTTTTGGCAAGCTCAGCCATTGATGAGGCAGCATCAGCGGGGAGGGTTGAGGACGACGGGGCGGAGGACGTTGCCGGGGTAAAGGTCGGCGTGAACGAAGCGCAGAGGCGCTGCGCCTCTTTCGCCAGCGACTCGGCAAGATTTAGCCGTGCCAATGCGTCGCCATATGTGCCTGCGTCTGTGTCGGCGAGAGCTCGATGATACTGGGCTTGAGAGGTGAGATATTTGGCCTTGATCTGTACACAGAGTCAGCCTCAGAGGGAAGAATGCTCGTTGATCGTTACCTGAATGAGAGTGACCCAATGCCTGTCGAGTATATTCTGTCCCATAAATTCTTTCACCTCCTCAGACAGAGTGGTGTACATGGAGGCAGCCTGCGAAGCCATCTTTGCGACGAGCCCACTAGCTTTCTTCTCCTCGACGCACTTTTCCCAAAAGACTTCTGTGGCCTGAGCGAGGATGATGCCAATGAGAAATTTGACAACCTCCTTGCTCAGATCCTTGGATGGTGCATGGAGAAAGTTCTCGTTGATGTACGTGAGCATGCCCGCGCAGGTCCGAAAGTAGTAGAACGCGCGCTTGAGGCCTTCCGGCGAAGATCGGTTCTGGGACGACGCAATCGCCGAGTGGGTGGAGGCGATTTGGAAGAGGATGGAGGCCTTTTCGTAGGCGATGGAGGTCTGGGTGGTGAGCTTGCGGGTGAACGCGTCGTGCCAGGGGAAAGTGACGCGAATCTCGGAGAAACGGAGTTCGAGCAGCTCGAGCTGGCCAAAGTACTTGTACAGCAGATCCCGGGCGGTCATGTCGCTGCCTGCACCTCGAACAGCGTCCTGGCGACACCGCTGGAGCGAAGCACATTCTGCCGCATAGTTGTCCGGGTTCTCGCCATAGGATTGAGCGATGAGATTGCGGATTGGAGTGGTCCAGTCGACCTCATCGGTGGTCTTCTTGGGAATGGATATCATGGGGGATTGCGACATGGCTGGTGAGCGATGGCCGGCAACTGGTGAAACAAACGAGCTGTGAGCGCAGCAGTCGCGCAGCGCGTGGGTATATCAGTCGGCGGTGTGCGGTAAAGCCGCACGGAGTTGACGTCTGTTAGTTCTCCAAGCTATTGACCCCGCAAAAATTTCTTGACGCTCGCCATCGTCTCTCGCGTTCCCCACACCTTCCCTCATATAAAATGGCATTCGGTGGGTTCAATATTCAGGCTTAAAGTCATGTTCTGACCTTTGTTATCTTTTTCCAGGCGATTCTGGTGGACGTGGAGGATTTCGCGGCGGTGACCGCGGTGGATTCAGAGGCGGACGGGGAGGTGGGGACCGCGGTGGATTCAGAGGTGGAGGGAGAGGCGGTGGGGACCGTGGTGGATTCAGAGGTGGAGGGCGAGGCGCACGCCTTTTCTTTTACTTCCTCAACGCAATCTCACAAAAAACCCACAGGTGGAGGTGTGCGCGGCGGCGGCGTAACATCACGGGGCGGGCGAGGCGGCGGTCGGGGAGGTGACCGGGGAGGACGTGGCGCTCGTGGCGGTGGAGGACGGGGCGGTCGTGGTGGAGCAAGGGGCGGAGGCAACACCACCCTCGAGCCGCACAGACATCCAGGTGTGTTCATTGCAAAAGGCAAGGAACACATGCTTGTCACCAAGAACCTCGTCCCCGGCGAGTCTGTATACGGCGAAAAGCGCATCTCTATCGAGGGCGGCGTCGAGGGCACAAAGGTCGAGTACCGCGTCTGGAATCCTTTCCGGAGTAAGCTTGCTGCTGGTGTCCTTGGCGGTCTCGACAACATCTACATCCAACCGGGCAAAAAGGTCCTGTACCTCGGCGCCGCAAGCGGAACGAGTGTAAGCCATGTCGCCGATATCGTTGGCCCTGTGCGTCTTTCTTTTCTTTTTTTGGGACCATTTATATTTATTTTCCCTCAGGAAGGCGTAGTGTACGCTGTCGAATTCTCCCCGCGGTCAGGTCGTGACTTGATCAACATGGCAAAGAAACGGACAAATGTTATCCGTGAGTAGACCACCATTTTTTCCTGTGATTTTTCATTTAACCATCGTATTCAGCCATCGTCGAAGACGCCCGGCTACCCAACAAATACCGCATGCTCATCGCCACTGTCGATGTCATTTTCGCCGATGTCGCCCAGCCCGACCAAGCCCGTATTGTCATTCTCAACGCCGAGAGCTTCCTCAAAGACCTCGGGCACGTCGTCATCTCAATAAAAGCGAGCTGTATCGACTCGACCGCCCCCGCGGACGTCATCTTCGCCGCCGAGCTGCAAAAATTAAAAGAAGGCCGATTCAAGGCCCTGGAACAGGTTACGCTGGAGCCGTACGAGCGAGACCACGCTATGGTTTCTGGTCAGTGCTTTTTGGTTCTGACGCTTTCAAGCTCGCCTGCTAACGGCCTTCGCAGCCCAATACAGACGGCATACCTCGGTATGAGATTCTGTCGCTGTCGTTTTTCTCTGTGT